AGGTCTCTTTCCATTAGGGTAGTTTTTGAAAAATCCAAACATTTTTACACGGCGCGATATTATACCCAAGTAGCGCTGCGGAACCCCGAAACGATCGGCCGATTAGAGCTACCGCGCTCATTCACGCATTGATTATAACGCGATGGCAATTAAGCGCGGGGTACTTTCCCCGGCGCGGAAAAGCGCGAAAGTTAGTCCGTCTCGGAAGGCCGACGCGGGCGCCCGGTCGCCGACGGTCACTGACGATCAATGACGGTCACGTACGGTCACGTACGGTCACATACGGTCACATACGGTCAACGACGGTCGCGAACTGTCACCGAGTCGCGCAGCCCGCCCGGTCGGTCATCGGCGCGGTTAAATTTAACCGCATACCGCGCGAAGTGGGCCGGATAGCGCCGAAATAACCGCGCTGTGACGCCGTCCGCCCATCGCCGGGCCGCTGTCGGTCTTGAGTTACGCAGTCCGGGATTTGGTTCCGACCGCTGCCCTATCAGTGGGAGGTGTGGATGTTAAAACGAGGATCTTTGTCGCTTCCTTGTAATGCACTGGTTTTTTCTCAGTCGGAGAAAGAATCTGTGCATTGTAATTATAAGGAAGCAATATTGACATTTTGGTGATATATCTACTCGTTCGATTTAAAATATCCTTGCCTATCTAATGCCGTAATTAGATTGTGTCAGTGTAGTAATCATCTTATTTGGATATAAAAATACGTTCGTATGTAAATCGGATATATAATACTTTTAATAGATTATGGACAGTAACGAAACGCAGTAGCAGAAATTGTTGGACTTCTAACATAGCCAGTAAGTTATATAATATTTTTTATTTTTATAAAAATACATGTATGGTAATGCATAATATAATAATTAGTTTAAAATTCTTATTCACATCAATCTAACTAGAACATCTTAACACTGGAAAGATTATATAGTCCTTCCGCAACCTACAGATACTGCGTTATCGTTTACGATAGGAATGTAAGCCTCGCGTTCAGAGTGCGCGAAATGCGAAAATTTACAATTCAAATGAAATTTCGAGAGCGAATTAGTAGAGGTCGCAAATTTCAACATCCGATTGAGACCCCATCGGCTTTAGGTCATGACTTAATTTGGAGGTCAGGGACCCCGATACTGTAATAGAAATTATTATCACAAACTTCATCGTTTTTTTTTTATTTGATTACTTTCGTGTGCTCAAAACTAAAGTATCGTCGAAAATTTGTGACCTAACCCTCTGGACAGACATCGCTGTTTATAAATGAATGTTTCTTTTTATGTGAGAAGGTGGCAAACGAGCTGGCGGTTCACCTAATGTCACATGATAACCGCCGCTCATAGACATTTGCGACAACCGTAGGGTGGCAGATGCGTTGCCATCTTTTAAGGGGGCCGCGGTTACCTCACTCACACTAGGCGAAGCGCAGAAGTGTAACACTTCTACTTTACGCCGGTCTTCTATGAGTTCATGGTGATTCCCCAGACGGACCTGCCCATTTGTGCAACAGCGAAGACTTGCGTGGCCCTAAAACAATGTGTACTGTAAACTTGGAGCAAATAAAAATCCACATTAATTCTGTACGGCGGTCGCACCGCGCACCTTGTAGGCAGACTGCCGCGTGTCACCGGCAGCTTCCGAAATGCGACGCTAGTGAAAGTGTATACGTTTGTAAACACTCGTCGAGTTAGCGCGTATCTTCGGCCGCTTTCACGTATTGTCCGCGAATAAATTATCCGCGACGGTTGATCCGCCACCGTGTTGTCGCGTTACATCTGTTGCATCACGCTTACCTCTAGTCTTCTTCTTGCGTTCTTCTTGTTTCTTCTTGTTGCTTTCTTCTTGTTTATGTTCAATGGCGATTTACATGTCTTTAAAACCAACGTCATAGCACAATCAAAGGGATACATACTATTTAACGACTGAGATGTTTAAATTTCTCTTTTAGAGTCCTCTATAACGTTTAGTTTTCTAAGCGTTGTCGAATCGGAAATACGGACGATTTAATCTTTTTTTTTAAATATTGCTTTAAGTTTTATTGAAGATTTTTCCTCCTGAATAAGAATGAAATAAGATCTATTTGGGACTGGTCCAGAATGTGTAATTCTGCGTCGCCAGTGACTTCGCGATGCCCCAACACTTAAACATCAAGACTTATCGACGTATCAATTGACGTTATAAGTGCGACCGATGTCAGCTAGCTTCACCGTCAACACGTCAACTCAGCAAGATTTATTGTTACAGCTAGAAAACACTAGTGTAGAACGAAGCATAGTCTACTCGTTCGAACTTACACGGCCAATACCTAATTGTGATGCAATTTATTCTATTGTTCATAAATTATAAGATACCAAATTACCGGCGGAATGTATTTATAAATGGTTTCTTGAACGTGAAATCGTAAGCGTTATTATATACGTGTAGAGATTTAATGCCGCAATCTGTACATCGCACATCCGGTGCTACGAACGGAAGTCCCGTGTTAAGGAAACACGTGTTAGCACGCGCATAGAGGAAAAAAGTAAATATTTTTAAGCGTCTGTGTCTTTTTTCCCAATGTTCTCTGAGAACGGGACAGATGTTGATATAGGAACAGATGTTTGAGAAAGATTCTTCGGATGTTTATTACCGACGCGTGTACAAAATATAATATTTGATTTTACGTCTAATTTAACGACAGTTTTAGAAAAAATTATTGGTTTGGTAGTGAGTTTCCATTAGAAGTTATTCGCGCCACTTAATAAAGTGCTCCTTTGTATACTAAAGTAAATTATAACGAGGCTCAGGGCCTTGGAAATTGTTGGAATGGAGATGGTAAGCCCTTCTAATGACGGTCTTTCTTATGTTTCTTCTGGTTGAAGACCTTTTTTCGTTTATATGTTCGTATTTTAGAGTGCTTGTCATGCATGTCTGTATTAAAAACGATTTTTTGTGACTAAATGCATAAGACATGAAAATGCATTATCATGTCGTGCAGTACTTGTAACTTATTATAAAATAAATATTTCGCGATATTTTTTAACACTACGTTATCTAGTCCGAAACTAAGCAAAGCTTGTACTACTTGGAAACTAGGTAACTGATAAACACACATAAACATACTTTTCTCTTGTAAATACATAAATACGTATTATAGCACCTAGACACTAGAATAACACAATATTCTCCATACAATATATTTCAAGTTATGGGGACGAACCCACAGCCTTTAGCTCAAGAGACAGGGTCACTATCCACTACGCCGATTGGGCCGGCAAATCGATTACTATTAAAAACAAAAAAAGCCTATCATTATATGACAGATCTTGTAAAAAGAATTAATTTGTAGATTTACAAATGAAGAATTGTGCTTGCAATGTTACGGTGGTAGGGCCACGCAGGAGCTTCGGCTGTCGCATGAATGGGCAGGCCCGTCTGGGTAAGTACCACGACCTCACAGAAGACCAGCGTAAAGTGGAAGTATGACAAATACTTTCGTGTTTCGTCTGATGAGTGAGGTAGCCGGAGCACAATTTTCAAAAGATTGTCAACGCATCTGTAACCCTCGGGTGTGGCAGATGTCCATGGGCGGCGGTTCACTTAACATCAACCGTCTGCTCGTTTGACAACTTTTCGCATAAACAAAAGGTAAACTGAAGCTCAATTTCTTATTTTTAGGACGTAATCACTTTTGATTTAGGGCTTTTTTTTTTTTTCAAATGATAATAAATCCTTAAAACAAGATAGTCTGTTATGTGGCTGAGTAAAAAATTGTATTACGTATTTGTAAAGTGATACCTGTAGATGTTTAATTAAACATTTACTTCCGATAATGAATTAGTAAATTTAACGTTAGTAATTTCTTTTATTACGTAGTATTTGTTTTTTTAAACCTGTCTGAAAAAGAGCTGGAAGCATCGTAATTAAAAATCAATGTTCATTACAAACGCAATCACTGCATAGAACTTTTTTCGATGAAAATAATTGCCTTGTACGAATTACGATGTAACATTGTCTCGACAGTCGTTCATCGGCTTTTTCTAATATAATTTTCAAGTATATAATCAACTCAATATTAGTTGCTTAATTTGAAATACGCTCAATTGCTTTGGGTTAAAGAAGTGAAAGCTTTTTACGTAACTTAAATCCAGTGAATGAACTTGTGCTACTGTTCTTAACTGCTCTGTGCCAACACGCCATACTTAGGCAACCGAGTGAAACACTTGTTACGATTCTTCCAGTGCAAAATGGATCTGCACCGCTAAAAGCATTCATTTAAATGTTTAAATGAAAGCTTCGCTTATTGCGTTCGAATCGAATTAACGCGATGCTCCTTCTTTGTTTGTTTAATTATTCTTATTAACGGTTTTCATTCCAAGTAAATATATTTATCACGAAATACGAAAGGAATTATATATATGTGCTGTTAAAAAACCAGCATTGTGGTCGTACTCAAATGCAACCATTCCTTTTACTAGTGACTAATTTAATTTATAAAATGGTATACATATTGTATACAGTATATATCGATCGATACATGTAAATAATACTAATAAAGACTACGAAATAAGCAGACATTTAATTAAGTTGTCTATTCCGCAAATAACCATATAGGTCGGGCGGCGAGAAACTGATAGTGTAAGATTTTGTAATTTTTTTACGTGAAAAGGTTGCAAGCGAGCTAAGGGTTCTCTTGATGTTAGGCGATATTCGCCGCCCATTGACATTTGCAACATCCGCAGGGTAGTAGATGTTTTGCCACCGTTAAATGGGCCCCGTCTACATCACACCAGACGAAACAGCAGTATAACACATCCACTCCACGCCGCTCTTCTGTGAGTTCGTGGTACTTACCCGTTGTGGTACTTGCAAATGGAGAGCTGGCTCCCGTTCAGCCGTATGGATTTGGACCGTTTAGCAGCCGTGTTCAATCTTTGTGGCACGCTTCGAAGTACGACACTCATGATGTGATAGATTATGGTCACAGTCAATTAAACACGAACAACTGTTCTCGCTCGCAGACGACAGACAGCGCGGACTTCCTGGCCACTCGGCCCCACACCGCGTCCGTCATACCGGGCAAGCCCGCGGCCAACCCGCTGCAGTTCATCAAGGTGGGCCCCGCGGACCTGGGCAGCAAGGCGCGGGAGCAGCTGAGACGCGCTGAACTAGCCAAGCGGACGGAGCCGGCGCGGATCGAGAGGCAAGAAGACTGGCAGTCGGTGAGTGTCCACTTTTATTTTGTCTGCTTTGTCGACTTGCCGTCATCTTGCGTCAGACCGCGAATGCCGAAGACGTGGGTTCGATTCCCACAGCGGCACCAATTTTGTCGTACTTTTTCTACAATAACTTAATGAACAAAGTGCAGAAATTAGCACTATAAAACATTTAAGTGATCCTAACTTGATTGTATTTCCTTATGGCGATTGACTTTGTGAACATTTACATCATACTGTCTACCCAGTTACCGTATTGCCATGCACCAGAGGAATTGTGCAACTACTATTGTTTATATTAAGTATAACGAATGTTAAGTTACATCCTATATATGTCAAAGGCCCCCTTTGCCCAGCAGTGGGGTAGTAAAGGGTTTACCCGTTCACTACGGGCATAGTCCACCACGCCGCCTCATTACGGACTGGCAGACCACACATAAATATTTTTTTTTATTATTTCGAAAATATGCAGGTTTCCTCGAGATGTTGACCTGCACCGCGGTGTACGTTATAATTCAGCATTTAAAATTAACAATTTCATTGGTGCCGGCACCGGGGATTGAACGTAGATTGCTCGAGTATATTGAATTAAAGGCGAGCGCCCGAAAACTGAGCCATCATGACTCCTTAGCTAATAAAACTAATTTGTACGCAATTAACAGTAAATGACGAACGTATTAAACATTCTTCGCGTGTTGATTTGTTGCGTGCTCGCTTGCGTACTTGAATGAACAACTCAATGTTATGTATATTATAGAGAGTTTTGAGAAATCGATTGAACGTTTCGTGACATAATATTTACAGAATTGTCACGATTGCTTTGTTTTGAATTGTCAACGTTTCACAAAACTTTACATACTTCCAACTTAACTTTAGAACTTTACGTCCATGGTCACGAGCCAGATTGTTTAACTCCTATGTTACATAATTACGGTAGAATACTGCCGACAGCTTGTTTATTATAACTTGGTCCAATTTATGAAGACTCAGCATAATACGGTGGTAGGGCCACCCACGGTGGTAGGGCCACGCAGCAGCCTCGGCTGTTGCACGAATGGGCAGGCTCGTCCGGGTAAGTACCACGACCTCACAGAAGACCGGCGTAAAGTGAAAGTATAATACTTTCGCGTTTCGTCTGGTGAGTGAGGTGACAGGAGCCCAATTTTCAGAATGTTGTCAACGCATCTGTAAACCCTCGGGTGTAGCAGATGTCTATGAACGGCGGTATTCACTTAACATCAGGTGAACCGTCTGCTCGTTTGACAACGTTTCACATAAAAAAAAAAAAAAATACAAGGTACTGTAATCTTGCTGGTGTGCTTGTAGCTTATATTAGTTCTATAAAACGATGGATCACAAGAGATTCATCGAAATAAGGAACATATTAATTTTTTAAATCTGCCACCGTTTCGTAATTAACTTCCTCTAACGGAGAAGAAACAGGCGAATGAAACTCCGTAGGTATCCTCCACTAAGTTCGTCTATCTCCATTTTGTTCATGTCCTAGTGACTAATTAACACCGCTGGCGGACTTTATTGTATCGCACTGCTGAAGCCAAGAAAAGAAAAACAAATATTCTGATTGCCATTGATATTTTAGTCGATTATATAAAACACGAATAAAAAGCTTAGGTGACGTGAAAGTCTTCTGGTCTACCTCTTGCTCGTTTGTCAGTAAAAAAATCAAAATCAAAAATATTAATTTATTCAAATAGACGCTTGCGCGCTCTTAAGAATCGTCAAATTTTACATCAAAGATTATGTATATAGGTTCGTAAGGTAACCTACCACAAAAGGAAGCAACGGAATCGTTTGCGACGGAAAAAACAAACGAATTTCATTCGCGACCTATCAATTGCTACCCTCTGTACAGAGGAGGCCTTTGCCCAGCAGTGGAACGTATAGGTTGATACTTCACTTTACTTTTTTTTTAATTGGCAAGCGCAAATCTTTCGATGCGACCAATCACCCGTCATTACGCCAACGCCTCCACGACCAAAGAGCGTGGGCATCCAACGACATTGTACTAAAGGAATCGTTGATAGTGCCATTACGCGCATTGCCGCTCCCGGTTTTTACGCGTCCGTCTCAACGTCGGCGGGGCCCGCCGGAAGTGGCGCGCATTCCTCCCGGAACGGCGGCTTTGGGCGCGTCCGGGGGCGTTTCCGGCGCCGAAGCCTCCGGGCGGATAAACGGGCCCCGGCGGCAATCAACATTGTTTGCTCCATAAATAGCCGCTGCTGGATGGGATGCCTTTAAATGCTGCAACTCAGTTAGACAGCGACGAAGGGATAGCAACTGAACGGTTCCTTTAGTGGTCAACCATAGACATTTACCAGAGATGGATCAGTGAAATAAAAAAGTAAAGTATCAGCCTTTATAAATCCCACAGCTGGGCCAAAGCCTCCTCTGTACTGACGGTATTAGGGAATAGTTCAGCGCGCGACTCAACTGCGCCAATACGCAGTTGAGTCTTTACATATCTTTGAAACATTTTTTGTTATTATTTCGAAAATATGCAGGTTTCCACATGATGTTTTCCTTGACCGCTGAGCACGTGATAAGTCAGCACTTAAAATTGACAATTTCTTCGGTACCTGCACCGGGATTTGAACTCGGTTGGCGGTTGAGATTGAATTGAAAACGCCCGGACACTGAGCTATCACGGCTGCCTCTCAGATCTTGAACAGATTTATGGGTAACAAATATTCGTATATAATGTTGCTGTTAATACATTCTTAATGTTACAGCATTCAGCGAATTAATAATAATGTGTTATTAGTCTCCATCACTCCCGACACCCGTAAGCCATGGTGCTTTTTTCCTTACAAGGGTTAGGTGTCAGGCAGGCGGTGGTAAAAACTTGATTTACCTGTTTTGCTGATAAGGGTAGGAGAAAGAAGAAGTGTGTATAGACTCCATCTGTTAAGCTGTTAATTTTAAAATCACTTTGTACCTTTTGTGTGCTCTCCTTCGCTTTTAATGTTCTTGGACGTCCTTGTCTGTTGTTAAGCAATAAGGTCACCACTTGCTGCCTATTAGGGATTAAGCTTGATGAAGTAATTAAAGCATAGCCAGACACTGCATCCTTTCACTAACCTTGTATTATTATTATTATATACTTTATTGTACACCACAAAAAGTTTTATACAGTTGATATAATAAATAATAATAATAACCTTGTAGTCCTGGGAGAGTTCATTTTAATTATGGATTACTCCTTCTCTAGATGATTCCAGTCCTTCATCACTACATAATATAAACGTCGATACAAAGTCGTCCCACGGTCTGTCTGTCCCTATATATGCTTAGATCTTTAAAATTACCCAATAGATCTTGATGCGGCTTTTTTTACTATATAGTTATTGGACCCGTGCAAAGCCGGGGTGGGACGCTAGTTTCTATATAAATTCGTGAACGTTACACAAATATACATACTTACCTAGAGAAATTGTGATTATAATTCCACTTCTGAAATACTTTTACAGCGCTCGGTTTAAATGGCTAACCTCCCTCAACTAATTAGGTTGATTTGCAGAAACTTTCCGTAATTTTTCTAACACACCTTGCAGAACTTTTTCTTTATTATAAGTATACTACAGCAATCTAGAGTATCTTGAGATAAAATCATCTTTAACTATCTTTCAAATAACGAAATTAAAATGCTTTTTAGCGTTTTTCTTTGATAGAAATAAAACTTAGTTAAGTTACTCCTTACGACTTCCTTTCAGACTTAATGAAATGTACTGAAGAATCACTTATTCGTTCGTAAACAGTTTAAATCTTAACACAATTCGAACAGCATTAAATGTAAATGAATGAGGCATTAAATAAAGATGATTTATTCAATAGGGCAGGGGTCTTTGAACGACGGCCCGTAGAATAGAACGACGATTTATTCGTGCTATTTTCCAATTCACCTTTTGCTCTGCAAAATTTAACCTAATTAAAGCATACAAAACATCGTATTATTTTATACTAGATTTTCGCTCGCGTTGAAGCCCTTAAATAAATATCTTTCTTTAAAAAAATTTTCAATTAAAAATAGCCTATGTCCTTTCTCAGGCTTTAAACTATCTGTGTACCAAATTTCATTTAAATCGGTCCAGTAGTTTTGGATTGAAAGCAAGATAAACAGAAAGAGTTACTTTCGCATTTACAATATTAGTATGGATTGTACATAAGCTCTGTCATCTCTAAGCCTTATCAATCAGAGCTAGAAATGAGCCAGTCAGCAAGTACCGAGTGTTATACGAGACGGTGATTTTGGTAACTAAGAAATCCTGATAAAAAAATGAAAACATTCTTGTGCGTAGGATTCGAACGCGTACCCTCATTTTGTTACAGTTACGAGTACACTTTTTTGTTTTTGGTATTTCGCGGGATCTTAATAAGATACACTGTCTCTTACAGTAAAGACAAGGTTAAGCAAAGTTTTACGCAATTAAACCTCTCTGTTCCCATCCTTAGTACATTAAGAGAGGCTCCAGGATCTCCTAAAGCACCGATGACACCGCACTAAAACACTAAAACAGAAATCCGCAGCGATTACGCTCAAACTGTCACATAAATGTATTCGTAACAAAACAGTAATTTAATTAGTTTAACATAACTGAAAATTGCAGCTTGCTTGCAGTCATGAACGAAGGTTATCTCCGTCTTTGTCAAGTTGACGGGTTATTGCGACCCGTAGCCGAAAGGTTGGACACCCCTGCATTAGAAAATGCCTGTATTTTGGGACCGATTGTCGTATTAGCCGGCGTAAATCATGGGCCCCACGTAAAGCAACAATTGTGCAATAAATTAATGAAGCTGTTAAAATACACGGCACCATTTTACGTTTAATCTCCCGCCATATAAAACAATTGCTCTGTACAGTTGTCGTCATTTATGGGAACACGAAGAAAACAACAACTATAAATGACCGGTTAAGAAAATGTATGTATGTACCGCCCTTTTTAATTAGGGTTCCGTACTCAAAGGGTAAAACGGGGCCCTTTTAAGAC